CGCTGAGGCCGGAAGCGCCGTGAGAGAGCCGGGTCCCTCTCCCCGGGCCGGGCGCCGCCGCCGCCCCCTGCCCAGCGCCCGCGTCTTCGCGGCGCCGCCTCAGCGCCAATATTCCGGACAGCAAGCGTTACGCGGCGGCGGCGGCGGCGGCGGCGGGGCCCGGAGCGGGAGGCGCCGGGGACCGGGGCGAGGCGGCCCCCGTCGCCACCATGGAGGCGCTGGGACCCGGTGAGGAGCGCCCTCGGGCCGGGGCATCACCCGGGGCTCGGGAGGGCGGACCGCCCGGCGGAAGGGACTGTCGCGGGCCCGGCTGCCGGCTGCCAGGCCCCGGGAAGGAAGGGGCCCCGAGCGCTCGTCCCCGGGGGGCGGGGACCGCGCCCCGGCTGCAGACCCTAGGTCTATTCTGGACCCGTCGCGAGCGAGGACGTCTAAGGCGGGGAGTCTCCGGAGGTGACCCGTGGCCCCCGGGGGTAGGGCAGACCAGCCTTCGGGGGATTTCTGTCCACGGTCGCCGCGAGGCGAGCTGGGGCCTCAAAAGGGACGGTGTGTCTGGTGCAAGCTGAGGCCTGGCCCAAACCCGGACGGCCTCTCACCTTCCGTAAGGTGTTCTTGGTGTGGGGCTGAATCCCTCTTTTTCTTGCACTGGCAGCTGGTTCCTCAGACGAGGAAGGGAGACCCGCGCACCCCATCCCTGAGAGCCAAAGGGGGGATTGTCCATTCTTTTTCCAAGGCCCTGAAGTTTGCTATCTGTCAGTTTGTTGGTCCCAGGGTGCTGTGGACTAGACCTTGAATGACAAACCAGTGCTCCCCAGCACAGGCATCGATGGCCTGCCTTCTCTTTTAATTGGGTTAGGAGTGGTTGTGAGGATCAAACCAGAAAAGTGTTTTTCAAACTGTGGTTCGGTGCTGGTGTGGGTGGCCCCTGCTTATCTCCTTCTCTGCCCCAATCCAAGGAAGCATTCCAAACTCGCACAAATGCCCTGAGATTGGAGCCTGGCCCTCCAGTGTCAAGCCCCAACAGGTTGCTAAAGGCTTGGCTAAGTAGGGCAAGATTTAGGGGCAGTGATGGAATTAATTTCCATAGTCAAACCTTGTCTACATAGTAGACTTAGTCGAATGTTTTTTAAGTTCATAGAAAATTAGGTTTATTGTTTGAATTTGGAAACTTTGCAGGTTTGTTTACTTAGAACATGTTTACATAACTGAGTGATTAACTGCTGTCTTCATTTGCCGCTTAAAGTCTTTTAAAAAAGGCTCTCATAATCAAATTTCATTGGCCTTTTAAAAATAAATTGGTTTAGCTAGGCATGGTGGCATATACTTATAATCCTAACAGTTGGGAGGTGGAGGCAGGAACATCCAGAGTTCAAGGCCAGCCTCAGTTATAAAGTGAGTTTGAGGTCAGCCTGGGCTGCTTGAGACCCTGACTATAAACAAACAGGTTTGAACCTGCTGTGGTGTTGCATACTTATAACCTCAGCATTTGGGAGGCTGAGGAAAAGAATAGCAAGAGTTGGAAGGTAGCTTGGGCTACATAGACTCTGTCCAAAAGAAAAAAGCCATGTTAGTTTGTTATATATTATCAAATATATAGTAATATATATTACTATATTACTGTAATTACTAATATATTACTATATATTTGATAAACCTCAGCATATTATGCTGTTACTTCAGGTATGTTCCCATAAAAGGATGCTTATGGCTTATGAACCATACCAAACTTCCATTCAAATCTAATATAGTAATTTCATAGTTGTGTTAAACCCAATCCCCCCCCCCGACTTCCTCACAACTTAATTGCATTGAACTTCGATTTCCTCTTCTATAAAACAAGGCTGTAAGACTGATGTGAGAATAAAATGAGACGATTGTGAGAAGTCTTGCAAATGTTCAACAAATGTTTCTTCTCTTCCCTCTCATGAGTAACTAGTAATTGAAGCAGTTGTTGCAATTATTAGCTGATATGGAAAGAGACTATGTAACTGTGTACAAGCTGAGTTTCACAAAAAGAATCAACGTGGTGAGGTAAGGAACTGACCAGGAAACCAGCTGCCCACCCTCTTTGGTTTGATTTTAGTTTTTGCAGGTTTGAGGACTTAGCAGTTTACTTAGAATTGCTCAATTTGTAGATAATAAATATTCGTTAATCTTATTTAAAAAAACACCAATGAGTAAGCCAAATTTTTACATACATCTTCTCTGTTGAGTAATATTTTCCTGTGTGCGTATAACAGACTCTTGTTTTGATATCTGACTACCTTGGAAACCCAGTTAATAACAAGTAGTAACAGTTGCTTGTTGAGCATGGAATCGAAACAAAGGAAGCCCATGGGCCTTCTGGGATGTTGCTTCCAGGCTGTTTTAGAACTTAAGAAGCATATTTACTTCCATTAGAGCATGTGTTCTGTCTAGCATGTTGTGTCTTCTGCACTGAACAATCCCTAGAGGCCCCTTAGTCCTCCTTACCTCTCTGTCATCTTCTGTCAGTAACTTAGGAAATTAGACGACCCTTTTCACTCATAGTGATTATAACCTTAATTTTTGCATGGTTCTTTTTTTGTAGTTGTTTGCTTGTTTGTTTTGCAGTGCTTGGGACGGTGACAAGAGCCCTGAATAATAGGCAGCTGCCCCACCACTGAGCTGCAGTCCCCCAGCCATTTGTCGTACTTTATAATTTGTAAAATACTTTCCTGTGGGCTGGAGAAATGACTCAGTGGTGCTCTTTCGGAGGACCTGGGTTTGCTTCTCAGCACCCATGTGGTGTCTCACAACTATAACTTCAGTCCCAGGGGACCTCTGTGGCCTCTGTGGGCACTGCATGTATATGGTACACATAATTATGAGCTTATTTGAGTCAGACCAGGTAGCTTATAACTGTAATTCCAGCACGGAAGGCTGAAGTAGAGGGATTACTGTGAGTCCAAAGCCTCGGTTATTGAGTAAGAGCCTATTAAAACAAAACAACAATCATAAACCTCATAATCCAATCATTTAACAAACAAACAACCAGCCAACCAAATAAACAAACAAAAACAAGCAAGCAAGCAAAGCCTGTTAGCTCATGTGATCTTTTGGGAAGTGGACAAGGAAGGTATCTGTTCTTATTTTACAGATGAAAAAAAATGAGATTCAAAGAGTATGAATGACTTCAACAAGACTCAAAGTGCCACTGGGAAATGAGGACCAAAGTGTGGAGTGTCTTATTTCTACTCAAATGCCCTCTTTTTTAAAGGCTGATTTCATCCATTCTGAGTTAAATCATGAATGCTTTGTTTTCAGAAAATGTAATTTTTTGACTATCAAAAAGTTGTAGGGATGCCACCAATATAAAGGCAGACTATCTGTGAGCATTAGCTATAACTTTTATGCAGCTGTCATTATAATAGCTAACACTCATTGAACACATGACTGTTATAAAGCACTGTGTTGAACCTTTTATAGGCAGCGTCTCTTGGAATCCTCACTATAGCATTATCAGATAGATGCTATTATTACCATACAGCCCTGTTTTATAGAAGGGGAAGCTGAGATATAGAGAAGCTAAGAAATGTGCCTGATGCCCTACAATTAGGAAATGGTAATACCAAAACCAAACCGAGATAGTTAGGTTCCTGAGGCTTAGCCACTATGCTTTATTGTTTTATGAAGTAGATAGTTTGTTTAATTCAAAGAAATTGGAATGAAGATTTTAGAATATAATTTCTAAATAATTCTAAGCTTATTTAAAGAAGTGGCCACTTACTTAGCTGGGTGCCATGGCACATGCCTGTAATCCTGGCAATCTGAGAAGCAGAAGCAGGTAGATCTTTGTAAGTTCAAGGCCAGCCTGGTCTACAAAGCAAGTCCAGGACAGCCAAGGCTACACAGAGAAACCCTGTCTCAACAATAACAAAACAAAACCAAAAAAACCCAAAGCATACAAAAACCAAAAAGTAGTCACTCACCGGTCTTTTCTCTCTCTCTCTCTCACACACACACAACACGCAAAACAAAACAAACAAACAAAAAACATGAAATATTTCATTCTACTTTCTGGGGAGTGGTAAAGATCAGCCTAGGCCTCGTCTTGTACCTGTAGGGGCATCCTGTGTCAATGAGCTATTCTCCATCCTTCTGTTTAATCTGTTGTATTTCAATCCCTTTGCCTATCCATCTGCCATTAAGTACTTCAGAGAAGTATAATCAAAGACTTGTGAAATCTGGGGAAGAAATGGGAGGACTTGATCCAGTCACTGTTAAAAATCAGATTCATAGGCAAAACATTTGATCTGAGTTTCTGCTTCCAGATTTCTCTTTTAAAGCTGGATTCCTTCTAATTTTATGATAATTGTTTAAGTGTAATTTTTTTTCAAGGCTGATTTATCTCTGTGACTTAGTTGGGTTGGTTGGCAACTGCCTTTTCATGCCCAAAATAGATCTCTATGCACCGCAGTAATGCTTTTTATATACCGTGTATCTGTGCTTTGTTGAAAACTAATTGTCACATTTTTCATGCTAGGGTAGATATTTCTGTTTTATTTTTTTACCTGGAACTAAGAATGTTCTTCCATGCTTATTGAATTCATACAACTTTGTGGGTGATGAGTCAGGTGTTGAGGGGACCAGAACTGGGACTCTAGTTATTCTAAGAATTTATAAGTCTAGTTAGTACAGAACACAGAATAAGTTAACAACTTACTCTTTTTTAAAATTATGTTTGGTGTGTGTATCTATCTCTCTGTGTCTGTGTGTGTGCACACATGCACGAATCATTTCTCTCCTTTCACCATGTGGTCATAGGGATCAAACTCAAGTTTGGCAACAAGTGCCTTTACTAAGCTATCTTGCTGGTCCACAAGTGATTGATGCTCCTAGAGGTACAAGGTAAGGCCCTGGGCTGATCCTTGGCACCCCCCCCCCCAAAAAAAAAAAAAAAAAAAAAAAAAAAGGAGAAAAAAATATAGTCAGGTGAGTGACCACTTCTTTAAATAAGCTTATATTTATTTAGAAATTATATTCTAAAATCTTCATTCCAAAAGCCAATTTCCTTGAGTTAGGAAAACTGTCTACTTAAAGTATTCAAGGTCTTGAGTATACAGGGAATGGATCTTTCTCAGAAAGTTGCATCTAAACTACATTTTGAAGTTTTGAATCTAGGAGGAAAATGAACAGTAAATTAAATATGTGAAGAGATTTTCAGCACTTTAACTATATGATGATTTGGCAACACAGATTCCATTAAGATA